GATGCCCTGTGAGGATCCTCCCAGACCCCTGACCAATAAAATAATAAATAATAATAATAATAATAATAATAATAATAATAATAATAGGGGCAATGACAACAGAATTGAAGCCTGTGTGTAGCAGTTATTTCCCATCACAGTATTTCGAAGACACTTTAGTAAATTGTTTTTTGAGGCAGCGTCTCATATATCCCAGGTTGACCCCAACTCTCTATGTGGTAGAGGATGGTCTTGAACTTACGATCCTTCTGCCGCTACTTCCCGAGTGGTGTGATTTACCAGCCTTCAGGCTTTTGCCACCACATCCAGTTTATTCAGTGCTGAGGATCAAACCCAGGGCTGTGTGTGTGCTGGGTAAGCATTCTACCACCTAGACTATACCTCCAGCCCCCACTCAGCTCTTTTTGGTCAGAATTTTTTTTAAAGGAAGCTAGATAGCAGTTTAAACAAATGTCATGTGTGTAAGAAGCCCGAGTACTGTTTTATGAAGCATCTGTTTGTATTATCTGAATGTGTGTGTGAGAGATGATGTAATTTCCCTCCCCCGTGGGTTGCATACAGTCTAAACTGAAAAGCCACAGGTTTCATTTACTGACTTCATTGGTACAGAAACTCTCAGACAGTAAGGGGGAGGGGGGAATGCCCCATAATACTGAGCAGAGGACCTGGGATTGGTTCCTAGCATCCATGTGGCAGCTCACAACTCCAGTCACTCCAGTCCCTGGGGATCCAATGCTCTCTTCTGGCTCCTAGGATACCAAACACATGTATACATGCAAATATGCATGCAAGCCAAATACACATAAAATAGAAATAAAATAAGAAACAAATACATATGTCCTAGCAATGGAGATGAATTAATTAAATTGAAGAAAGGATATAAAGTAACAATTTGACCATTGGAGCAGATTTGAGTGTTGTTGGTTTTTTGTTTGTTTGCTTGTTTGTTTTTCTGTTTATTTACTTACATATAATGTGTTCTACCTGCCTGTATTCCTGCAGGCCAGAAGAGGGCACCAGATCTCATTACAGATGGTTGTGAGACACCATGTGGCTGCTGGGAATTGAACTCAGGACTTCTGGAAGAGCAGCCAGTGCTCTTAACCTCTGAGTCATCTCTCCAGCCCCAATGGTATCCTCTTAATGGTGCCTCTCGTCGTTTCTCACACTTGGTTCTGCACAGGATTCTGCAGTCCTAGGGAGGGAGGTGCTGGTCTTTGTTCAGGAAGTCTGGGTGGGGGCCCAATGATTCTGCATTTCTACTGAATTTCCAGGTGACGCCAATATTGCAGTCCACGAAGCACATTGGAACAGCTCTCTATATACCAGTAGCTACACCCATTTCTTCCAGACTTCTCTATGCCCCAGGAGACTATGGGAGATGAGGGGTTGGAGAAAGTGGAATTGTTCCTCTTATGTTAATAAATGTCATTTTATGCACAAACATGAACCACAGATAATATTTAAACAGACATGTTTGAGGCCTGTCATTAGACAGAAAGCATAGGAGTTTGGAATTTCTTTCCTTTTTAAGAGTTAGGTTATCTATTTATGTATTTACTTATTTATTTTAATGTGAATCAGTGTTTTGCCTGAATGTATGTTTATGTGAGGGTGTCAGATCTTGGAGTTACACAGTTGTTAGCTGCCCTGTGGGTGCTGGGAATTGAACCCAGGTCCTCAGGAAGAGAAGTCGGTCCTCTTAACTGCTGCGCTATCTCTTCAGCCCAGGAGTTTGGGATTTTATTAGCTAGGGATTAATGAATGTATGTATCTATTCAAAAGGTAGGGAGTCACTCCGTTATCACTGTGATAACAGAATGCACTTCTCCATTTGTACAATCAATATTAATGAGGATAGGAGAAAAAGATATCTTCTCAGAAATGTGCTTGCTTAAAGAGTAATAGCTTAAAGATAGCCATGAGGCAGATGTTTTATTCAGTTGTCTGGTGTGCTTATTTAATCTAAATAGACTCATAAACATCACATACAGATTAGTTTGACAAAGTAAAATAAATTGAATTCCTTCCTGGCTTTCCACGATCCCCAGGCAAGTGTTAGTATGAATTATTTTTCTTTTAATCTAGGTTATTTAGGAGTATGTATCAAGAGCAAAATACAAAAGCTTCTTTTGGCTAGGCAGGCACTATAATATCAGTTATGATGTCTAAACACAGAGTTGCAGGAAGTGGTGGTACCTCTGTTGTAGTGTTTCTGTGGAATGCTTTCAAGTTTCGGAGACAAAAACCAATAAGAAAAAGAAGAAAAGGGTATGTGGTAGAGAGCCCAAGGGTTAAAGATCCACATTATTTACAGGAAAGGATGTGACAATATTTCATTTTAGTTGGGAGACATGGTACCACTCTAGATTTAGACTGGTACACAATTATCATGTATCAACAGGTTGACAGAACAGGACTGTTTTCTTCTGAAATATACATTTTTATTAATTTTCTTTAATGAGATGTGTTAGTTTATTGGTTTTGGTTTTTTGAGACAGGGTTTCTCTGAGTAGTGTTGGCTGTCCTGGGACTCGCTCTGGAGACCAAGACTCACAGAAATCCACCTGCCTCTGCCTCTTGAGTGCTAGGATTAAAGGCGTTCGTGATCACCACCACCCAGCTAAGATGGGTTAGTTTTAAATGCTCAATTAGATTTTTACCCTCTACCCCTATTGGAAAAAATGCCATCTTTTTCCATAATCAGTTTTCCATTTGAGACTATAATAAATTACATTCTAACTGTCCTGGAAGAGAAAGGATAATCCAGAGATACATGAGCCCCTCCATCAGACTTTAAGGCAGTGAATTCCAGAGTTAAAATTCCCCAGAAAATCCTTGATGGGAGAAGGGGAAAGCTGAGGGTCTGGTACCACAGAGGGGGACCTCACCTCCCAGGAAGGGATTTCCCACAGTTCTGACCACCTTACAAAACAGGGCAGAAAGTCAATGGTAGGTGAGACCACACCATAACCAAGGCTACTGAATCTTGCTCATTCCCTGGCCTCTATTTAAACCTAAACCTCAGACAGGACACTAAAGACTGGCTTGCGGGTTGGGTCAGGACCTCATGATTCATTTTTCCCATTGTGACCACTTTGAATAAACTTTCTCTGCTTTCCACTGTTGCTTTTGTCCAATCATTGGCTGGCATGCTGGGACAGACAGGTAGACAGTCCTGGCTTGTGGGAGCTCCAGAGCCCAAGCCCTTACCCTAAAAAGTCCAGTAAGATTATCACAAAATTGAGAATTAAAAACAACACAGAGATTGTCTTGCTGTTCTGAGATTGGAAGTAACACTAGAACCCAGACACTGGCTGGACTGTGTTCCCATCCGCTTCTGGGAACCTCCATTTTCTTGCCTTTGGACCTGAATTCTTCTCTGGGGGTCCTTCCCCTACCTTCAAACTACCACAGCTGACCACCTCTTCGGCCTTCCCCTTCCACTGTTGCTGTAAACTGAATCCTAGGGAGCCCTGTACCCTCATCACAGGGAAACTAAGACTGGATGAAAGGCTGGCCTTTTTGTTTGCCTTCCTTTTGTACCTGCCTCCTGAATTTTGCTTACTTCTGCATTAAAGGGGTGTTTGTCTAAAATCTGAGGCTTCGAAAACTATCTCATCTCACCGGAGGCAAAAAGGCATGAAGATAAGAGGAAAGGAACCTCCCTGTCAGATTTTACAGCATTCAGCTCTGGAGCCCCACTCCCATGCTCCACCCCAGGTGGCAGGAAGTCTCTAATGATTGTCCTGGACCCGTGCTTGTGCTGAGTCCTAGGAGCAGCAGAGCCTCATAGATCTGCTTATCCTCTGGTAAGATCACACCCAAGCAGGAGGGGCAGTCACCTCCTGGAACTGCCTCGACCCACCAAGCAATCTGAACGTCTTCCAACCACCTTGCACAACCAAAAGGGAGATAATTATCAACCAGATCAGGCTTTGACAAGACTTGCTTAATCTGCCTGCCTCTTGCCTCCATCCCACCCTTTAAACAGTCTCCCTCTGTTTAAACGTAAAGCTCGCATCAGTACCCCAAAGATGAAGATGGACAAGGTGTTATTGGCCCCCTTTCTCTGTACTTCCCAATGTGCATGAGTTCTTTGTTCTTTACCTTTGATAGTGATCTTATCTTTGATTGGTACACTGGAGTGAAAGGCCGAGTGTAGTGTATCGTGCCTCCCAGTGCTAGGGCCTTTGCCCTAAAGCCGGTTATGTAACTGTGATGAAATTGCTCTCATCCAAATAATTCAGGAAAACCTATTGGAAGCCCAGCTGAAGCGCAATCGCCATTCCTCTTTGTCATGCAATTTAGCATATCCACATGTTCCAGTATTGAGAGAGAGAGAGAGAGAGAGAGAGAGAGAGAGAGAATGTGTGTGTGTAAAAGGGCCATTATCCTCCCTACCAAAGTATATTTTAGCATCTTAGATTTTCCTATGAGAGGACTGTTGCATTTTGAGTACAGATACTTGCATAGCATCATTACCTCTAAATAGCATTCTATATAAGTTAAATTATAAATTGTATTCATCATGGTAAAAAGTGCTAAAGTTCTCACAAAGCAGAGTATGCCTCTTTCGTATTTGTATCGATTCTTATATACACTCTCAAATGCCTTGGAGGTGTGGATTCTAAAACCCTCCCCCTCATTTCCAGCCATGAGTTTTGTATTATTTGAGGGTTTAACTGCCCTGTGTGGCTAAGTGGGCCCTTTCATGACTTATCCAGAATTTATTGAGATAAGTGGAGGCTACTGAGATGGCTTGCCACCGTGTTGCTCAAATGAGACAATGTTGCTTCCCCATAGGACATGAGGCAATGTTTGCAGACATTTTTAGGTTGTCACATATGGGAAGAGAGTGCTATTGCTGTCTCCTGGGTAGAACCCCAGGGGAACAACTGTCTTACAGCACACAACAGCCTGAAGGACAAAGAAGAGCTGTGGAGACTGAGTAGTGGGTTGAGCTCCTAGTTCTTATTGCTATTTTATTATCATTGCAGGAGTCCCTGGCGCCATGCCAAATGCATCCTGGACAGGTAACCTCAGAGCCATCAAGTGGATGGATATGGAAAATAAGCACGGAGGCTGCCACGGTAAGGTCTCCCCCTCTGAGGCCGTACTGCCTGTTGCTGTTGGCACAAGGGTAATTGTAAACTTAATAGAGGGGTTCTTGTGCAGAGAGAGCTTGGAGTGCACAGACTGATCTGTGGTTGTTAGAGAAGCCTGGCGCCTCAGACATCAGATAAGTTTCTATTTCTCAGACATTCTGTTTTATTGCTGCTGCTGCTGTTGTTTTGGGTTTAGGGATTTTTGTTTGTTTTTTGTTTTGTTTTGTTTGAGACAGGGTTTCTCTGTGGAACAGCTCCAGCTGTCCTGGAACTCACTCTGTAGACCAGGTTGGCCTCGAACTCACAGAGTCCCACCTGCCTCTGCAAGTGCTGGGATTAAAGGCCTGCGCCACCACCGCCCGGTTTCTCAGATGTTCTTAATCTCAGAACTGCCAAGGAGAGATGGTACTTTCAACTTAAAATGAACTTTGTCCTTGCTAATTTCTGCTTTCTCATTGTCCCTTGCTTACTGTTCCTTTTGGGAGTGCAGGGGCTGGGACAGGTGATGTCACATTCTTGTGACAGAGCATGCTCACACCTTGCCCCCACATCACTCTCTTCTCTGCACACACAGGCCAGGAGTGACTTGGAGAGCTTCAGATGTTTGTGATCACTCTGCCACATGGCAGGTGACATCAAGGAGAAAGGTTTCTTCCCTAAATAGACAGAAACTAGTGACCCTAAGTCATTGCCTTTTTTGGCACAGTAGGGGATGGAATGAGACAGGGTCTTGTGTAGCCCAGAGTAACCCAGAACTTGCTATGTAGCCAAAGAAGACCTTGAAATTTGGATTCTCCCACTTCTATCTCCAAAGTTCTGGGATTGCAGAAATGTGCCCCCCTCTCCGCTAGTCATTGTCGTTTCTACAGACCCTTATGAAGAAGGAATTCCATCCGGCCTGGGCATCGTCCACTCCCAACACCACCTAGCACGTAGTGAGAGGGTGTATCTACCTGCTTGTGCTGCTATGCCAAAGCAGCCACAGGTTGGACAACTTATATATCAGAAATTTCCTCATTTTTCTCAAGACTGAAAATGTGAGATCACATGCTGTGGAGTCGGCTCCTTTCTTGTCCTTTCTCTTGTGGTTTTTAAATGACTTCTTTTCCCTGCGTCCTCTTGTGTCTTTTCACTGTATCCTAATTTCCTCTCACAAAATCCCAGTCAGAGATGGGCAGAGTGGCACATGCCTTTAATCCCAGCACTTGGGAAGCAGAGGCAAATAGATCTCGGTGAGTTCGAGGCCAACCAGGTCTACATAGTGAATTTCAGGACAGCCAGAGAAACATAGTGAGACCCTGTCTCAAACAAACAAACAAACAAAAAACCCCAAAACCCAGTCAGATTCCAAGGGTCTGTATACATCATCCTCACCACAGCCTCAAGCCAGCCACACTGCCTCCCATAGCATTCATACAGTCCCCTCTGAGCTGCCTCATCCACACCAGTCACCCAGGTGGCATCATTACCCTGAGCTATAGCCTTCCCCTATCAGAGAAGCCACTGTCCATCCCACCAGTACAGACTTGCCTGCAGCCTCTTCTCTCTGCCTTCACCCATGCCCCATCCCTACTTAGTCGAGAAGGTGTAGACTGGTCAGCCTTGTGTTTTTGTAGGTGCCCTTATTGATCACTAGCTAGGAACCATGCTAACTGTACAGAACCTGAGTGGCCCAAGCCCACCTTGGACTCATATTTCATCTTTCTCCTTTAAATACCCACTATGCTGATGAACACCTGGAAGCTTCATGCAGTTTTGGTCCTCCAAACCAGTATGCAAGAGAGAAGAAGGAGGCAGAGTCCAGAAAGGGGCTGGGGCACTTCCGGCCATTACTGTAGTGACTCAGTAACACAACATAGAAGAGGCTCTGGAAGGACACCCAAGTGCTCACCCTCTCTTTAGACTCTTGAAACAAAGCACCCCAAGGCATTAGGGATTCCCCAGGAATCTCCTGCTGGGAGAAGGAAAAGGCTAAAGCTTGGTGCCAGTCAATGGGAGAACTTGGCTCCTGGTAGACATTTCACACTGTCCTGACAGCTTGCCTGACCAGCAGACTCCTGTATTCCAACAGACATTTCCCCTCTCTACAGTGTTTCCAGAGACACTGCCTTCAGTTTTTCCAAAACCACTACCAGTCACCCTGTGCTTCCCAGAAGAACCCATCCACTCATCGGCCTCTTGACCTTTTCCATCCCATCACTCAACAGCTACTAATGCAATTGAAATATTTCCCAACCATTGTTCTGGAGGCAGAGGACTCACAGTCCAAGAGTAGCAAGGCCTTGCCTAGAAAGGACAAGGATTAGTATCTCATATATATATATATATATATATATATATATATATATATATTTCTATTCAAACAGATAAATGCCATGTATATCATAGAATGTTTGTGTCATTTATAGTCTTATACATTTTAAGATATATTTATGAAACAAAATGAATGTATATATAAAATCATAAATTTGTAAAGTTTATGCATAATTATATTGTATATTTATATGTATATTCCCTATATGATACACACATCCTATGCATGTGTTCCTTTGTGTTGTGTTTACACGTGTGCATGTATACACATGTATACATGTATACACATGCACACACATCAATTGGTAATAAATACCAAAACACAAATGAATGAGAAAAATGGGGTGGGGAGGGCCTTACTGAGAAACTGATCTTGAGGTGGTGACCAGTGCTGGGCTATATGTTATCTGAGAGAGAACAGGGTTGTCGGGGTGTAGGGGAGCCCCTGGGAGAGTCAGGGAGAGTGGGCCTGCTGTGCTTGGAACTGACAGGGGAGATGGTGTGTCTGAAGTGATTGAAGAAGAACAGAGAGTGACCAGAGTCAGGGGTCTCAAATGCCCGTGGTGAGAGTTCTGAGCACAGAACATCTATTCCACCTGTGTGTTAACAGAATCTCTCCGGCTGCCACACTGTGTGTTTAACAGGGCAACGGAGTCACCAGAGGAGCCGCCCTTTAGAGTAGTCCAGACAGGAAGATGGAAGGAGCATGGGCCAAGATGGTGGCTACAGAGGACAGTGGGGACAGTTTGCAGAGGAGCAGTTGTGAAGGGATGGATTAAGAACTTCAGTGCTATCCTGGCACAAGAGTGGCACTCACCATCCCAGCACTCAGGAGAGGCAGCCTGGGCTGCATACAGAATCTGTCTCAGAGTCCTCTGCTGACATGCTACATCAGTGAGGCTTACTGTAGCCCTCAGAGGTGGGGCTGACACTGGCGTAGACTCCATCAGAGCTCAGAGAAGAGACAACACAAGGCGAAAGGCCCTCTTTCATCCCTGTGCTTCTAGAATTTACCTGCCGCTCTCATGCGCTCATGCATGAACTCCTTCAGGGCATGGTTTTCATTGTATTCAGTGCTCATCTTATTCAAGTTCATATTTGTGCCATTTGTCCTAAGCAGTTTAAGCTCTTGGTGGGTTAGGGCAGCCCAGTCTTGTTTCATTGGCATCTCACCATACTTGATTAGGTTTCCACTATCTCAAGTCCATCATTTGTGACTTCTAAAGACAGGGACGTCTAACTGTTGTCTCTGTCCCCTTCCCTCCACAGGTCACTATGTACATGACATTTGCATCTATGGAAACGGAGACTTAAAATGGCTAATAAATTCAGAAAGCCTATTTGCTAACAAATTTGAGCTCAACACGTACCCTCTCACCGTGGAGTGCCTGGAACTGCGGCTTCGAGAGAGAACCCTCAATCAGAGTGAAACCACCATACAGCCTAGCTGGTATTTTTGATCCGCAGCAGCTCTGGCCTGAAGGGAAACCCAAGGCATAAAGAGGAGCCTTTCTCTCCAAGAGACTTTTGCACTGACTGTGCTGAAGGCTTCAAAAACTTCTTTCAGGAGAACGTCAGGACCTGGCTTCACGACTATGCTGAAAGTATCAGCTGGACACTGATACATCGGCAGGTGGCTGGATGCAGCTGTCCTGCCATTTTTAATGAGTCTGGCCATTTCTTTTGAATGTTTTCTCTTCCTCTTCCTCCTCTTCTTTTTATTTTATTTAATTGGTTTTTTGAGACACAGTTTCTCTGCGTAGCCTTGGCTGTCCTGGAACTCACTCTGTAGACCAGGTTGGCCTCTAACTCACAGAGATCCACCTGCCTCTGCCTCCCCGAGTGCTGGGATTAAAGCTATGCCCCACCACCACCCAGCATTTTGCTTCTTTTTTAAAAGACAAGCTCTTGCTATATATCTCTGGCTACCCTGGTTCTTGCCAGGTAGCCCAGGATGCCCTTGAACTCTCTTTGGTTCCCTCACCTCCCTCCACCCAAGTGCTGCTATTACAAGTGTACAGCCACACCTGGCTCTGATGTCTGCAAGTCACCTGATGCTCGTCTGCATCTTAGTCTACTGCTGTGGTCAGTGATGAATTTAAATGCATCAGTCTCTGTGCCAGATATTCATATTAGTATATGCTGTTAGAAAGGAGAATGGTAGGTAATATGTCTGAAAAAACCAAATCCTGGTTTATTTTTTATATCATATTTGTAGCAACTATGTACTCAGTCACACATAGGCATAGAGACAGCTTTCTAGTAACTTTACTAATTTCGTTTACTCAAGAACTGATCAGAGGTGGTGGTGCACACCTTTAATCCCAGCACTCTGGAGGCAGAGGCAGGCAGATCTCTGAGTTCTGGTCTATAGAGCGAATTCCAGGACAGCCAGAGCTATACAGAGAATCCTTGTCTTGAAAAACAAAAACCAAACAAACAAAAGGAACTGATCTTGAAGAGCTGAGGAACTGTATAGTTCAGTGTCTGAGCATTTGATTGACGTGTGTGGACCTGGGCTCCGTCTCCAGCATCACAAACAGGCCTGTGAACACTGCGGTTCTCAATTACTCGTGTCTGAAGTTGTGCATACAGTATAAAGCCATTAACATGACAGAGCATGTGCTTAAGACAGGAGCCACTGTGTGGCTGCAGGAAAAGGACCTCAGGGACACCGGGCATTTCCGTGTTCTGTTCCAGAATGTTCTCTTTTCCACTGAGAACACTGAAACATCCTCACAGGAATGAAGGAATTCTTTCTTTCCCACAGGAAAGGTGCTATTGTGTGGGTCCAGAACCTGTGGATAACTTATGTCTGGGGTTCCGTTTCTATATGAGAGATGGGGACCCGGTTCTGTTGTACACAGTTTTAACCACACCAGGACAGCCTCCAGGTAGCTCGAAATGATTGGTGCTGACAGGAGTTCCTGGATACTTAAGAGCTTGTGATTGTAAGTGGACTTCTGTGTCATTTTTCAGTTATTCATTCATCCATTGGTTGAACCTGCATTCACTAAATGCCTCTTGAACATCTGTGATCCTCTGGACACATGTTGACACTAGAGGGAAACAAGACAGATATTTTCTCTGTTGTAAAACTGACAAGTGGTGTCAGCTTTTGAGCCCCTGCTCTAAGGCTTACAAAATGGCTACACATTGTACAAAGTGTACAAAGCAGGCCATAGGGATGGGTAATTATAGGGAGATTAATCTGGAGACGTGGAGGAAAGAGGAAACAAAAGCTAAAGCCTGTTGGCCCCCACAGCTCCTTCTTGTCTCATTTTATTCAAAACTCGCACGCCTCTGTCTCAAGGGTGACCTGAGTACCTGCAGATGATATAACAAGCCTTGGGATGGCTAACGATCATTAAGAAGCAAATTCTAAGGATTTAGAAACTTTCTGATCCTCTCAGCTCATTTCCCTAGGGTTGTTTTGAGAAGGTAAAAATAAAGCCATACTTAATATCTCCAAAGAAGTCAGAGTTTAAGAACAGACTCAGGGTTCATTTTGAGAAAAAGTTCTGTCATTCAGAAAAATGTGTGGTAAGGACTCAGCATGTGGGGGTGTTCGCCGCCAAGCCTAACAACTTGAGTTCAATTCCTGGGACCCACACAAGGGAGTTCACTCCCACAAGTTACTCTCTGACCTCAACACACACATCATTGCATATAGTCACTCCCCAACACACAGATGAGTAAATGTAACTTTAGGAATGTGATCATCTTTTTAGCTCTTTAGCATTCATAAATATTTATTTGTTCTAATGAAAAAAAAAACTTGCTTTAAATGACATCACTTGCCAGCATTTCATTTTTGTGCTGTAATTGTGCCTGCTGAATGTTAACCATCTTTAAAGGGAATCATTTTCATGTAAAACTTTCTTTTTCCTTCTCCTGAAAAAAATAAAATGGGACTGTATTGAGTACTAAATGGTTGAAAGGCAGAGATGCTCTTGATTGAGGTGAAGTCTAAGACGGGTCTCTTTTTACTTGTTACGTAGATGAGAGCACCTGAAAAGAAATGTTTTACACTGGATCTCTCATGGGAAATGAGAAGTTTTTCTGGAGTAGAAGTTTACATGTCCATTTCTGGTCACCTCTTTATCATAAATATTTTAATATTGGAAGAGAGTAGCATTTGAGCTAGTGAGCTAGCTATGAAGGTACCCTCCTCTATGCTATCCATTTTGGTTTTGATGTTTTCTGTTTTTGTTTTCTTGGAAATAAATTAATATATTGTTTTCCACCTTCAGGGATAGTGTGTATATTTATTTGATACCTGGTTAACATGTTCAATGGTAGAGTTCTCCCACCTTTAAAAAGGACAAACACACACACACACACACACACACGTATGTGTAGTTGTCTAAAATAGTCTATCAACTAAAAAAAAATTGACGTTTCTCTTTGTGGGGTGAGTGGGAGAGCAATTGAGGATAACAGGATGAAATAGAAAATTGGTTTTATTTATACATTTGTGTGTGTTGTATGTTTGGAAACTGCCTTTCCTAGAACTTTGACCTTGCCATCTGGGCTGGACTAGCTGGCTAATGAGCCCCTAGGATCCACCCATCTCCACTTCTCCCTAGCATTGGAGTTATAGACATGCCCCCTTCCCTTCTCCAACTTATACACAGATACTGGGGATCCAAACTCAGGTGTTCATGTTTACTGAGCAAATATTTTATCAGGCATAAGTCATCTTAAAATTACCTTCTGTGTTGGTCAGGCTTTCTGTCGGTCACTATGATCAGATGCTCAAGTAAAGCAGTTTAAATGGAGAAGGATTTGTTTAGGTTCACAGTATTTGGAATTGTCAGTCTAGCATGGGGGGAAAAGCATGGCAGAGCACCTGGGAAACAGAAAAGGGATTCAGGAGGGAGCCAGAACAAGGTAAAGGTTCCAAAGACACACTCTCAGCAATCTATTTTCTCCAAGGAGTCCTCACCTCTTACACAAAAAGTTGTACATCTATTCTGGCTACCTGCAAGGACAACTGCTTCCTGCCTGGTAGGTACTGAGTTAATTATTGGAGATCAACAGACAGAATCCTGTGTCACAGAACTTATCACAAGTAAGGTATCCATTTTTCAGGAGCAGTTTGCATCAGGTTGTCTAGCAATAGGATGTGAATGATATTTGTCACAAGAAACAAGTCAAATGTGATCTCTCCTAGCCACCATTAATTTTTTTTAAAAAAAAAAAAAGGCAGGTTCTTTCTACTCTAGATGGAGAGAGAAAGCAAAATTCTGAAACATACTAATGAAGTATTAACAGAGTGCTACAAAGCCACCAGAACAATGTGGTAGCCCAGGAGCACAGATGGGAGTATGGGGGAGGGGTGACTTCATTAGATGAGGCCATCAGGAAGACCTGCCTGATGGGATACTTTGCACTGCAAATTTGCCATCTGCAGGTGAACACAAAGACAAGCTGGACACCACGGTTTGCTTTCATCATTTTTCCCCCTGCTCTTGGGGAAATTCCAGTCAGTCACAGACTCCCTGGAACATAGCTGATTCCAGAGCTGAGGCAGGGAAGACCTGAGATGAGCCTGGAACCTGCTGTTGCAACATGTGGTACAAGAATCCTAAGTGAGTGAGAACGTGTCATGGGTTCAAGATTTGCCTTGAACTCTCCTACCGCATTAAAATTACGACAATAATACTTTGTGAGCCAATAACTAAAATGAGCCAAGCATGATAATACATGCACAGCACACAAGTGTAAATACATATGAATGCATTATAAAACATACATATTAATAAAATATGTAAGAGGCTATTGACATGAAGTGAGTTCCTGCTCTTGGTTCCAACAATCAGCCAACAAATGAGTCATGGTTCCTTCTTTCACCCAGGGCTGAGCAAACCGAATCTGTGATGGGCTAGACAGTAAGTCACATGGTTTCTATTGTAATTATTCACTTCTGCTGTTAGACTCATAGATGATGTATAAACACGGGCTGTGTGCTGATAAAGCTGTCCCTCTGCTGTGGCTGGAAACTGTGATCTCCTGCTCTCCGCATCCTTCTCTAATGTGTGTCAAGCCCAAAGAGGGTGAAAGAGCATTCTCTTAGGAGTGAATTACATGCTTGAGTGCCCCGCCCACCCACAACCCCCAACCAGGAGAAAAACACACAGAAGGAAAACTGGCTTCTATATCTTGGTTACATCTCTGTCTAAGGCATGAATAAACCGGTGTGTGCTTTATCCAAATGAGCAAGGACAGCTGGGTAAAGCTGGCAGGGTAAGAGAGCTTATGGAGTCTGACTGAGCTGCTCTTGGGAAATCTCGAGTAGGAAAAGGTGGGACATTCAAAGCAACACATCTGGAGACCAAGACTGCAGGACAGGGAAGTGTTAGTATTTGTATCTCTTGAGCTGTTAGGAAAGTAAGTATGTGTTGCAACAGCTGGTCAGTCCAAGGGCTATTTACTGAAAACTTTGGCTATGCATGTA